AATAGAAAAAAGCTTATGTTCAAGAATTTGGAGAGGGAAGGACAAATCAGACTGTGAAAAAATAAATTTTTAAAAGAACTAGATTAAATATTGAAAGAAATACCACCATATTTAGACAAACTGCTCTAGAACAATATTACTATGAAGAAAGTTTAGCTATGGACAATAAAGGAAGAGAAATGAGGAAGCGATTTGAAGAAAATCTTGTCTTGAGCAAAAGAAAAGGAGAGAAAAAGTAGAGGGACAACAGGATTCAAAATTAAAGGTAGAAACCATCCAAAGGTCCATCAATGGATGATGGATGAACAAAATGCAGTATGTCCATACAATGGAATATTATCTGGCCATAGGAAAGAACATATATGCTATGACATGGATGAAACTTAAACACTACGCAGAGTGGAAGTGTCAGTCCCCAAAGACCACATACCACAGGATTTCATTCATATGAAAGTCCAGAACATAAATCTGTAGAGACAGAAAGTGGACTAGTGGTTTCCAAGGGCTAAGGGTAGAGGAAAGGGGTGGAGGGTGATAGCTCAGAGGTTCAGGGTTTCTTTTAGAAGTGATTAAAAATGTCCTAGGGGTGGCTGGGTGGTACAGTTGGTTAGGCGTCCAACTCTTGGTTTTTGGCTCAGGTCGCGATCTCAGGGTCCTGAGATCCTGCGTGGCATCAGTCTCCTTGCTGAGCACGGAGTCTGCTCAACGCTCTTCCAGGTTTTCAGCAGTTTTTTTTCCTTGGCTTTTGACCATATCAATCCAGTCTCTGCATCTGTGGTCACATTGTCTTCTCTCCTATAGTCTAACCTCTGCGTGCCTCCCCCTAATAAGGGCAGTTGTGATTGTATTTAGGGCCAGATAATCCAGGATAATCTCCCCATCTCAAAATTCTCAATTTATCACACTTACAAAGTCACTTTTGCCTTCCAAGGTACCATTCACAGGTTCTACAAATTAAGACTGGATATCTTTGGAGCCATTATCTAATCTAACACCCTGATCTTACGATATACAGGAAAAGCAAATACTTCCATGGAAATCCAAAGTGACAAGCATAATTTACCCATGCCTAAGGAAGGAGATAAACTCCCAGTTCTAGAAAGAATTAAGACATGGTGATGCAGCCCCAGGGTACTCTAATTGTATTCAAACAGTTTATAATTCTGTTTACTTCTCATCTGGTATTTGAGTTTTTCTTCCCCTATTCATACTTTTTAAAAAGTAACCTTGAGAATTCACATACAATTCACCCATTTAAAGTATACAGTTTTTGTGTATTTACAGATTTGTGCAACTATCACCATTTTTAGGATTTTTAAAGATTTTAAAAGAGAATGAACATGAGTGGGAGCACAGCTAAAAAAACTCTCCCCTTGGAATCTCTAGGAGAAACCAGTCCTGCCAGCTACTTGATCTTTTTTTTTTTTTTTTTTTAAGCCCCATATGTCTCAGGACTTCTAGCCTGCAGAAGTGTAAGAGAATAAGTTTGCATCTTACGTCACCAAGTGTGTAGTAATTTGTCATAGCGCCAATAGGAAACTAATCAGCAATGCAGTACTAAGATTAAATGATCCTGGGGAGGTATCAGGGGGATTGACAGTTTCTTAAAACGTGGTGCTTGGGTAGTGTTTGCTTGCGAGGTCTAGTTCTTTCTTTTATATTTACCCCTTGAAGTGGTGAGTCTTCATTTGAAATGTCTTGTCTTGTTTTCATACTTCAAGACCCAGCAAATTCTTTTGGAAGAGGGAAGTTATCCGTTTAGAACAAGTCCATGTTTCCCAACTAGGAGTATGGATTTTTAGATATCAAACGGTCCTTAATAATCTACTGATTAGTTCAACTCTTATAGTTGAGTCAACAGAAGAAACAAGTGACCCACCCAAGCTCATCTAGCTAAGTAGTGGCAAATGTTCGTGATTGCCAGGCCACTAATCCTTAAAAATTAGACATGTGGGACTTTGATATCAGCTTACTGGAGACAAAACAAGTTTAAGCTGACATGGAGATGTTTTAGACTTGAAAGTTTCTAGTTGCAAGAGTCCCATCATTACAGCTAAGTTTCCCTCTAGTTTTGTAGGCTACCATGCTAGGATCAGAAAATCCTCTTAATTCAAACCTCTAATCTTCTGACCTATTTCATTTATAAATTAAGTTCTGTTAGCAGCTTCATAGGAGGTTCACCTTCTAGGACATAATGGTACTTTGTTCAAGTGTAAGAAGCCGAGAAAGGGCCTGGGGTAAATCAGAGGTGGTTGGGGATGGGTATCAGGATGGCCACCTGGAACAGGAAGAGCGCGGCTGGGAAAAAAAATGTTAAGGTCCTAGAAGTTATTGGAGGCAGTAAATAGGCAAATTGCCCAATGACCTCTGCAGAATTAAGTGGATACCACCACTTCTGAAAAAGAAGCATCCATAGTTTAAGAGTCTTCCTAATGAAAGACACCATCTCTCAGCTATTAAGGCATATACTCAAAGCAACAATGAGGCAGGATAAACATTTCCTACTTTGGAGTCGGGAGCAGGGGACAGAAGCCTATAAGCTAGTACAAAAATGAGTATTAAATGTGTTCATACCCTTTGAACCAATAATTCATTTTTAGAATATTTTTAGGGTAATTCTTATAAGGAGATGTGAACACTCCTATAAGCAAACATTCACTGGATTATATACAATAGTATCTAAGAAGGAATTTATTGTAGTGCATTTCTATAGAACTTTACATAGCCATGAGACATTTATGAAGTTTCAGGATACAGTTAAGTTTATATAAAGTGAGGGCATGATACAAAACTAGTAAAAGTTGTACTCTTCCATAAGTTCTATCAAACAACAAAAACCAGGGGCGTCTGGGTGGCATAGTGGGTTAAAGCCTCTGCCTTCGGCTCAGGTCATGATCTCGGGGTCCTGGGATCGAGCCCCGTGTCCGGCTCTCTGCTTGGCTGGAGCCTGCTTCGCGTCTGCTTCTCTGCCTACTTGTGATCTCTCAGTCAAATAAATAAAATCTTAAAACAAAACAAAACAAAACAATGAAAACCAGTAAATGGAAATAGCCACTGATATGTTGGGTTTTCTAGATGGTAGAATTTGGGAGACAAAATTGCAAAAATGCATTTGTTTCCTATAAGTGATGCTTTAACAAACTTTCCTCTAAATCTGGCTAGTTAACAGTCTGTATAAAATCGTAGAATATGGCCTGTCAAAAAAGAATTTCTTCTTGCTTTTGACAGGCAACAGTGAGAGCCTCTTTCCTCAAAATCTTTGGGGTAATGCAATTGCTTCATGAGTTTATACATGTCAGGAGTCTGGAAGAGGGTCGTTCATTTTATTGGGGGCAAAGTCAGGGCTATATTAATAGACTGTGTCTTATTCAAGACTGCAGTCTGTTAATTGGTATATGGTGAAGAGAATGCATTTTTACCCCTCCACACTTTATAAAGCACATATTGGGGTGACTACCCAATAGTAATAGCCATCAGCTAAGACTGTCGCTTCCCAAAGTGGGTAGTGTGGTATCTGCTCATCCCAGTTAATGAAGTTAGTCTCTTTCCTCTGCACAAAGGTATACACACATCCCAGGAGACTAACATCTACCTGGAAAAATGTGCTCCATATGGAGTTCTGAAGCTTCAGGTTTTTGAAGATTCTTTTCCAAAAGGTAATATAGGATTAAAAAAATTATTTCAATTCAATTAACATACTGTATTATTAGTTTCAGGGGTAAAATTTAGTGATTCATCAGTTGCATTTAACACCAAATGCTCATTGTATCATGAGCCCTCCTGTCCTCTTTAGGGTCCACATGCAATCCCCCTTAACACCACCCCACACCGCTGCCCAGCAATCCTTCCTTAGTTTGTTTCCTAGAGTTAAGAGTCTTTTATAGTTTGTTTCCCTTTCTGACTTCCTCTTATTTTTCCCTCCCTTTCCCTACAATCTTCTGTTTTGTTTCTTAAATTCCATATACGAGTGAAATTATGTTGTCTTTCTCTGACTTATTTCACTTAGCATAACACCCTCTAGTTCTGTTCATGTTGTTGCAAATGTTAAGATTTCATTTTTTTAATGGCTGAGTAATATCATACACACACACCACCTTTATCCATTCATCTGTCGACAGACATCTGGGCTGTTTCCATAGTTTGGCTATTGTGTACATTGTTGCTTAGGATTTTTTAATACCTCATACACAAGGTTTTCCTTGGTGTCAGAATGTACAAATAGTGTGGAATATGGTTAATACTCTGGTGCAGACTTCGGAACTTGAAGTAAATTCTTTCATCTCCCTGCTTTGAGCCCATTTATTCATTCCTAGAAACTGGATGAACCATGTTTAGAGTAATGACCTTCTGTTGAGGAGCCTTTTAAGGTTATGTTTTAAAGGAAGGCAGAAGGCAGTTGCTCCTGAGCTGTTATCTTCCCCTGCATAGAAACGGATAGGCTTTTCAAAAGTCTGACTTGGCAGTAGTCAAGACCTCAGTTTTCACTAAGACAATGGAACAAAGTGTCTCTTTTGCTAACTCAGCCCTTTATCCTATTTGTAGTATGCTTATTCATGGAAAGAAAAAAAACAAAAGGTTTCTGGTCTATTTGAATTATTTTTGCTAGCAAATTTGAGAGGACTGTGACTTCTGTCAATTTCAACCAATTGTGCTGTAGGTTTAGAATCACTTTAGAATCCAGGTCAAAATCTCTTCTAAAACTATGTGTTCTTGGCATTCTGATAAATCAATCAAAATTGGATCTACTGGCTTAGTGCAATTGAGTCAAGCTAGCCCCTGAATAGGCAAAAATCGTTGACATTTCTGCAGAAGTTTAATTTATACAACTTTGTGTGTAAATCTGATCAACAAAGTCAAGTTCTATACTAAGTGTGTATTTGTCCTTCAGTTCCTTAAAAAAATAAAATCCTCTGGCCACAGGAATTCTCAATATTTAGTTGAGGAAACAGGTTCGTTCAGAGAGAAGAGACCAAAAAACCCAAATCACATGGTCCACTCACCTGAAGGTCCCTGTAAGGGGCTGCATTCCCTTCCTGCACATTGATGGTGGATTCCATTGTTTGGCAGCTGCAGGTAAACTTACCATAAGGAAATGCATTCTCGAGGATGCAAAAAGGGAAGGTGTCAAGTTAGGTGGAAAATAAAAATCCAACCCCTTAAACATTTATACAGTCGGGCAGTCTCTTCAGGAAAATTCCAGTTGAAGTTTTACTATTAAAACGTTTTTGTAGGGAAGCCCTAATAATACAGGTAAGAACCATGTTTTCCGATCTCAAACAATGTGGGGGGCGGGGGTGGCAGTGGCTGCAGTACTTCAATCACGTGAGCCCAAGTTGGTATGTCTGGCATTGTGTCGTTGTTCAGCCTGAATCTTAAAAACCAAAACCCAAGTGTTCTGTTCTTACTTAGCTTCTTGACTGATTCAGACCCTCCCCCAGTTATTTACCAGGAAATGCACAAACCTCAAATGCACCTGCTTATATACTCTTACCTCTTAACCAGGATAGCGGGTCACGATAGTACATTACATGGCCAGACAGCTGCTTGTTCCATCGCTCATTTTCTTTAGCGATGATGGACTTGTGCTCAGTGTAATCGGACGCCAAGCCTGTGAAGACCTGACAGCTTCTTTCCGGTGTTTGAGGTCTACCTTGTCCCTCAACTTTCTTTTTTTTTCTTTCCTTTCACGTGGTGGACAATGAAATCTGAGGGTAACCTGGTGTTCTAAGGGAGCCCCGTGGGTTACCCCTGGCTGTGTCCTAAGCTTCTGTGTACCCTGAGGGACATCAGGCTGGAGCTGTCCGCTTCGAAGATTCACATCCTCAAGGTGGGGGGTTGGGGCTACCCCGTCACAGGCCCGCCTGTGGAGAGTACATTCCTTAGGCGCCCCCTCAGTGCTGCCTAGAGGCCGCGGAGCCCGCAGGAAATCACTCGCGAGAGCGGCGTTAGGTGTCGGTGGCCACCACGCCTCCCGCTTCAGGGCTCGCTTCCTACTGAGGGCGGGAGGGGACACCACGGCTCTCCTGCACTGGAGCACAGTTCTGCTCCGCTCCGCCCGAAGAGGCGGCTACGGGAGAACGCAGAAGTCGGGCAGTTGCAGCACCGGCAGATTGTCCGCTCTTCCCGGCTCGCTCTTCCGCCTGCGCAGCCCCAGCCCCCGCCCTCCGCCCGGCTCACAGGAACCAGCGCCCTTGCCGCTCCCGCGCTTCTCTCCTGCCACCCGCCGTGGCCTGCCTTTTATAGGCACCGCAGCCAATGAGCGCTCTCCTTTCCTTCTGCCCGCCCGCCCGGCCAATCGCCGCGCCCCTTGTGTAATCTTCGGCTGTTCGGCTGCTCTCGGCTATTTTCGTTGTTGCTGGCTTTTTCAGGGGCTGCTCGCTCGCAGCCAGAGAAGCTGCTTTTTTTTCCGGGTTCGGAGTCGTTCCGGATGCTTTAGGCTGCCGGATGTCTGATCTCCGGATAACTGAGGCGTTTCTGTACATGGATTATCTGGTAGGTGAGGGACAGGGGTGGAGTGTCGTCTCTCGGAACCCGACGTGCCCGATGTCCCTCCGCCTGGAGGAACAGCCTTTTTGCTAGCTTTCTTTGGGATGGGATGCCTTTGGGGTTCTTTCTCCTGCAGCCTGCTCTGGAGCTGTGCTGGGACTCCGAGGGGCGGCCGGCAGGGCGGAGGGGGTGGTGGAGCTGACAGGTAAAGGTGCGGCCCCGGTCACCCCGCTGCGGGGAGAGGGGCGTGCTGGGGGTGCCGGAGAGATGGGGGCCGCGGCGGCGGGGCGTCTTCTGCCCGCGATCAGGTTCTTTGCTTCCCTCTGCGCTCCCCGAAAAGGACTTTCCTTCCGGGGAGGCAGGAGTTTTGTGCTGTCTCTTTAGCAGAACTCCAGGTACTATTAAAGAGCCATAACCAGAATGGCTTACTAAGTGCCCGGCAGCCCCGGTCATTTGGTTGTTATTAGATCTCTAAAGCTATGACCTCGGTCGTGGCTAGGGTTTAAAAGCACATTACCGTAAAGTAGACGGGACTAAACTACATCGCAGCCTGGTCGGGACTGGGTAGGGCAGGCATTGTCCCACTGTACCTCTTGTGGGTGCATGTGGCTTTTACCCTGGATCCTAGCTGTTTTTAGGCCGGGCTTGTGCTGAGAAGTTTAGGTGGGAAGTGTCAGCACAATGCTGGGGCTGAGCAGTATTTTAATAATGCACTCGTGTTTTTGTGGAATTATGCAAGCATCCTGTATTGTTCCAGAAATTCTCTTTCCCCGGAGCTGCATTTGTGTGTTCAAGGGGAACCTCACTGACATTGGCTGTGTTCGATCCTATACAATTACCAGGTTTACCTTGTTAGCTCAGACCGCAGTTACGTAGAGTTGCAGTAGCTGGCTAAAAACATTGACCCTTCTGTGATCTTGTTGGACACATGCAGTCGATTTTACTATAGATTGCCCTGGCAGAGATTTGCCATTGCCTTCTAGGAATTAAACTTAATGCTCTTCTAAGAAAGACTGTGTGAAGCTTTCATGATCGAGAAATGCTGGATAAGGACAGGTTTTGTACGGTTTTCTTGTCTTTGGACTTAACTCTAGTTTACGTGAAGGAAATGTTTCCCCTAAAGCTTAATGGCTTGTTTTTGTCTTGTGGGGAAAGGTGGTGATTGATGTTAACGCACGACCTTGTGAATGGGGCAGAGAGAAAAAAAATTGAGTTCAAATTCTGTTTTGTTCATTTGTTGACGTCATTTATCTTTGTGATAAAGGGACATTATCCACCCACACCTGGAGCCAGTTAAAGAGGTTATCTGATTATGCGTGTCCTTTAAAATTCAGAGTGCCCTGTAGGTTAAGAGTTGCCAAGTGTTTTAGATTTTCTAAATCAAGTAACTGATTATTTTGTAGCTTGCCAGGTAAAATACAATACTATGGTTTTGTTTTGTAGTCCACTCAAAGCCAAAGTTTGAGAATAATTCCAAATAGGAAAGGGTGACATTACCTGTACTACTAAAAGCTAATTTTATATACTTAAGTAGTTCCTAAAAAGGAAGTCTGGTGGTTCTGATCATTGTATTTCTTTAGTGGATGAGTTTTAAGTTTACAAATACCATCACAAAACCAAGGTGTCAAAACCACCAAACCATTTGGGGTTCGGGGATTGAAAATTGGTGATTACTCAGGTTAATTTCTAGGTGGATTATCTAAAGGTGGTGAATGATTTGTTAGTGGGGCTTCAGGGTACCTAAAAAGCAGATTAATTTGTTTGGCAGTTTACTAACAGGCTTGTGTTAAAATCAGTGGGCCCCAAATTTGACACAGCCTTTTGGTTTCACCTGCCACGCCCCCACACACCCTATTGCACTGGTATTAAAAAATAGCATTTTGTAACTTCAAGCTTAAAAAATCACAACTGCAGTGAAGCTGTTAAGTAAAAACTTAAAGGAAATAAGTCAGTTTGTATGAGTGTGCCAGGCATCTCCTGTGAAAACATTTAAGACAATCCTTAAACATGAAGTCCAATTTTTCAGTCCAGTTTCAGTTAAAAGATACAACTCTTCAGAGTCATGCTTTTGTGTTTACTTCTTATCAACTCAGAAAATGACGTGCCACACATTCCGCTCTTCTTGTCTTTCAAATTGACTCATTTGCTTATATATAATCTTTATATGGTGTCTAGTAAAAAACAATTTCTGGAAAAAATTCCGTTGACTGCATCTGGCATTTTATTTTTAAAATCAATTCTCAGAAATTCTCTCCAGAAAAAAATGCTCCTTCCTTGACAAGATTGGCTCTTCAGGTTTTGCTGGGCTTGTGGACTACAGCTCCCTGTCCACTTGACAAGAATAGTAGTGTATGCTAGCTTTTCTTTTTTAATCGGTGCTTGACTTTTCTTGTTGCTGCTGTTGGAAGCTGGAAGAGGGAGCTCTGTGTATGTATTGTCCATTGTTCTTTGGATGGAATGTCATCACTTAACCTTTCTTTACTTTGAGATTAGAAAGGAAGAGAAATGGGAGAAAGGTAGGTGCTATTTTAATAGCTTATAATAGTACTGTGGGTATTGAAGCAAGTGATGTAGCTCTCTGATCTTTGAGGTTGTTGTTGATTTTCTTAAAAAGAAATGTTCTCAATTAGAGGTGACCATTAAGGTAAGGGACAGGGATCATGCTGTAATATTCAAGACGGGGTTTTTAAATTCAGTTCAGGGATATAGTGGTAATTTGCTAATTCTAAATAAATATCACCCAGTGCCAGTATTTGTTGAATTGAATCACTGAGATGGAGGGACAGCCCTGCTTTTCTTACCAGCTTCTAAACTGAGACAAGATAAAATCTGTTTGGATTAGGTGTTTTGTTCTGGGGAATGCAGAATGTATCCTTTACACTTCAAGATTATCAAGATACTATGTTTGGCCTGGGTGACAATTTAAATATAAAAACCTCATGTTTTCTGGTTAAGGAAATTGGCTTAGAAGGCCACACACCTTTTCTCCACCTTCACATTGGACTTGAAAGGCCATGGTCATACCTGTCGGGTCTGTGGATAAAGATTTGGTATTGTTTTGACAGGTAGAACTAGCCAGGGAGTAAGGTAGGAGAAAATCTAGTTGTAACAAAAGAGAAACACATCTACCAGGTTTTCCTGGTGGGTTGGACAAGATCAACTTCTAGATTCAGTTTCATATTTTCTTTCTGTCCTAGCTCTTATTGACTGGTTAGAATTTTACCTTCCCCCCCCTTCTGCCATCGAAACAGAAAAATGCATTCTGCTTATGATAATTAAATGAGATCATGGAGGGAAAGAAAGGGGTTTATAAACAGCACCTCTCTCCCCGCCCTCCCCCCCCATATAGAATGTTATTGTATTGTGATTACATCGCTTATTCTTAAGACCTTAATGATTTCTTACTGGTAAATGCTGGGCTTTTTTTTTTTTTTTTAATTTTTAAATTTTTTTATAAACATATAATGTATTTTTATCCCCAGGGGTACAGGTCTGTGAATCGCCAGGTTTACACATTTCACAGCATTCACCATAGCACATACCCTCCCAAATGTCCATATTGGGCTAACTTTTAAACTAGTGCTAGTATATGGAAAGATTTGGAGTAGTAATCAGCAAGTAGGATGTCATAAGACCCTTGATATTTTAATATCACATGTTGATATTTTCATCCATTCAGCAAATATTCATGGAACTCCCTGCTTTGTGCATGGCCCTGAAAGTCCTGGGAGAATGAGCTCCCAGCTGAGGTCCCCTTGGCGGTAGGACGGCCAGGCATGTGGCTCTAGGGAGCTTTCCATGGCAGGACAGGACGCCAAAGGTGCATCAGAGAGAAGGTAGCTTCTGATGTGCTCCCTGGCTTTCTGGTAGGTTTCTTGTTTTACATGTTTTTGTTTTATTGAGAACTAAAATGCAGAGTTAGAGTTGAAAATGTGGCAACTGAAAAATGGTTGAGGAGTCTTGGATGCTAATTGTCAACTCATGATCATTGCATTTGTATACTGTGTTTAGAATTTAAGGCCACCATTTTAGATTTCCCATATAGATTGGTGAACCTGGCCTAGTTTCTTGGTCCAAGGCTGTACCTGCCATT